TTCTCGCACCGCAGCGGAGTGAAGGTCTATGCGCGACAGGATTTCCCTCGGCTCCTATTCTCGCAGCGGGAGACGATATGAGGCTTTGCGGGCGACTAACGACGGCGGGCAACGGAGGTTGGGATACGGGACGCGGGTTGACGGGGAGACACTGGCAGACAGGTCTGTTCCGTGGGTCAGGGTTAAACCTGAAAGGCAAAGCAAACAAAACGCCATTAACCGAAAAGGTCCAGTGAGATACAAGCACGCAAGATAAAATATTACTGGCGCGGTTGTCTACAGTGCAAACCAGTTTATGACTATACCTAGTTACATAAGTAGACATGTATTTTTATGTACTATGTGTTATGGGTGAGCGACGTCTGGTGGAATATTGCGAGAGCAGTTTTCGCAAGAGTTCAAATGTTTGTCGCCAATAAATTTGAGTAGATGCAAAAAGGGAATACAGCTTATGTGTGCAATAAATCCAAATGAATGTCGTCCAGTTGCGTAGTGCTCAACTCGAAGACCGGAAAATAAAACTGGTAGCAGGTAATTAGATGAATGACAACAGAAGAATGTACACGCGAGTGAGTGAACACAGTGGAACGGTTGAAGAATACAAGTGGAGGAAAATAAAGAAACACAATCGTTGAATATTTCTAAAAGTTGAGCTGAAGTGTACAATCGATATGATAACTTGAAGGATAGTAACACCGAGATAATGTACAGAAAGTAATTAAGGAATAGACCGGTTGTCAACATAGAGCACAGAGTAATCTCTCAAAGAATGTGGCCGACCTCCTTTGACTGTGGTGAGACGCTGACATCCATACATTCAGATTCGTTGATAGACAAGTTGATATACGAAGTTCGTAAGCTTGAGGCAGAAGATTTGGTTTGAAGCTGTGAAGAAAATAAATCACCATGGAATTCGGAACCCACTGTGACATGTTCAGCATTGGTAAAAAGATCATGTGGTTTTATGGGTATGTCTCGAATATGGAAATAGAAAAGAAAAGTGGACAGCATCGCTCCCTGGAGTATTCCTGATTTGAACGGTAGCGATTCAAAAGCTTTCCTAACAAAATTCGTGAATTGTGTTCTATCAGTCAAATACTCTTGGAGTAGAGACAGTGTGGTATTGGATAATCCAGCTGAATGGAGAAGAGACAAAAGCCTGTTCCTGTCGACATATTGGAGTTCATCACTGTACACAAGAAAACAGACAAAGCACAGTACTACGACTGCTCGGGGACTGTATAACTGATTTTACGGGTTATTTGAGTCGACCGGATGGTGGTTATCTAAGGGAATTTTTTCGGGGGAAGAAGTTGCTCGGACAGGTCACCCAGTTGCGGGAGGGAACATGAAGTCTATACGAACCCAGTTTGTATGGGGGTCATATTTTCTGCCTGCGAACTCTTTTTGGTCCTGGGTTGTGCATCGATCTCAACCACAGTTCTGACGGTCCCTTGATCTTGTTGTCGTACCACGACTACAAGACAGTCGAAGCAATTTCTGGTATCCAAACTCTCACAGTGTGCATTGCAACCTTAAACCCCCTATCCACAAGCGAAACATCAATATCACACAGCATCCATGAAACGCCGCATACTGCTGATAATAGCTGGCAAGGGGGCACTGAAGTAAAAAATATCAAAGCAGATCGTCGTTGTTCTTCGTCCAGATGAACGAACCGGTGTCGTCGCGATGACCAAAGTGCGTTATTAATTAAATTCTCTCCTACTGCTGAAATATCAGAGAAAATTCAGAGCATCATAAACTGCAAACGATTCACAACAGCTGGAAAAAATCATTTTAAAACCGATTAACTCAACAATCGAGTGAAGTTATCCTTTTCGACAGGAAGTCAAGAATCACAGACTTAAGGTTTGCCAAAGTTACATAAAGTGGCCTTTATCAGGAATGAGCTCACAGAATCTGTCAAGTCGCGCATGGATCCGCGCTACACCAAGGTTTCCGATGGATTCCGGTTTGCAACATACATACATACAACGAAAGAGACAGCTGTTGTCTGAGATCATTTGGAGTGCCAAAGACTTAATCTGATTGCTGCATCACATGGTCATTCCCTTACACCCTAAGTAACCCTTTATATTTGCAAATCGCATCATGATCATATAACACAGTCTGACCGTTGCTTTTCAGTCGTGATCTCTGAAGCATTTTTGTGAGGGGCCAACCANGCCTCAATTGGTTATCGAGGAGCATTTGGGCACCTTCGACGTTTGGCCCCCTCCAAAAGGGCTTATGATCAAGTGAACTGGACACCGGTCTGCAATGGATTCCAGTTGTCACAACGTCCCCCTGTCCTACAGGTCAGACTTTGTTTTACCTGAGGCTTCGGTTGTGAATTCCTCAACTGCTTTGGTCTGAGCAACCCGGGAGTGTTTCATCCACATACAAACCATGAAACATTTTACTTCTTAAGACTATTTTCCCGTGATTTGTTTGACATACAGGTTGTACTCGGATGTACACTCATGTTAAAAATCGGCTTTCCAGCCAATGGAATAGTTTACTTTTATATGCACACAGTGGAAACCACGATTGACAAGCAAATCATAGATGCTCATTAAGCCACTTGCATCAGTCAGATTGTCCCAAAAATGACATGTTACTGAGACGACCACATTTGATGGTACCTAAAGCTTAATCTAGTAATAAAATAGTACATTTCATTGTTTCCATCTTTTAAAGTATTCTACGTGATCTGAAATCTGCCTTTAACTTCTCAAAATACAGTCCTTTTTGTGAATCCAATAGAAATTTATATTTACACATGTTTAGACATAAAATGTTTGACTCTCGTACTTTTCCCCGTTCCACTTCAACTATTCTGCTGCAAAGTGATGAGAATAAAAAAGGTGATCTAATTTTTTTCCAAGGAGAACAGATCCGCACTTCCAGAACATAACGTTCGCGGGTGGAATGCGTGTGTGTGTATGAGGGGTGGGGGGAAAACAGCCCACCTCAACCCACACCCCTGAAACTTTCAACCTCGCTCGGTAACTCACTCAAAAAGTACTTTTGTTTGTTTCCGGAGCAGGTAGTTCATTCGGACTGGACGGGATTTAGACTCGATCTAATCGGTTACATTGAACGGCCGAAGCACCAATAATCTTGTGGGGTTGTCAACGGAGTGCGATTAGTCGGATTCGCTTGAAGTTACGGGGGGCTTCACTTGAAGCTGTAAAACTTATATTCATGTGATTTTTATTTCTATGTTTTCAGATTCTCTCACATTACTACTTACGAGTAACTATGAGTTAAATGCGAAAAAAACGTTTCTATTTTTTTTCTCCAATTCTATTACGAAGTAATGGTATATACTGGTATCAGGAACTGCGATGTATTGGGGGTGCGACATTACATAATCATAAACTCTGTTATTATGCGTGCGGTTGGTTTGAGTTTTCCAAAAAGTAGGAAGATATGTGAAAATGCGGCTTCTCAAGGGTGCGACACAGCATCGTGACAGTTAGAAAAAATTCACCAGGAGCTGAATCACAATAACAAGTAAAAAATGAAAATATCTTCATTATCATTTTTGACTGTCTGTTTATTGATTCGGTATTGGAAAATGTGTAGGGGAACCGGTAAATAATACTTCATAATGGCTCGGAGACTGCTATGCTGGATTGAATGAGTCGTGTGCTTGTCTTTTTTGATGTTATCGGTTATGGTTGTTTTATATTTTAATCAGTATTTCAGCTGGCTGACAAGCCCCTTGTCGGGGAATCTAGTGTTACAAGTGTCCCACCTGTGTGTTCCGAACTGCGGTGAGATTCCAGAGCACGTTGGTTGCTTTTTGGGTCAGCGTTAATTGCACAAGGACACGGGCTGCTTCTCCCGGAGTCCACCCTTTACCAATGTGTTTTGAGGGGTTCGATCCTGCATATAACATAACTATAACACTCGCACTCCCTACTCTAAATTTAAATTTGTATGAGGTATCTTATTGATAGAATTCGCCGGCCCCGAGATTAATTTCCCAAGTAGTCATCAAATATCTTCCTGAAGAGTTTGTTGACAAACACAGTAGGTTGAAAGCTCGTTGTTGCGGCAGCATCCAGATTAGAGATCACGATTTGTCGTCCATTCAAAGGTGATGATGTAAATAATCTAATCCATCAACGGTTACGGTCGGTTGTCAACCGAACTTATTACGCAACCAAACCCAGTGTTGTGCACAGGACAAGGAGNACAAGGAGCATACCCCTCCCCCGGCTGAAGAAGGCCCACCTCTGTACGCCAACACAAACGCAATCTATCAATTCCAATGCGGGTGCGGAGACACTTATTTAGGCAGAATAAAAAGGTAATCGCGTAATCGGGTCTTAGAACACATTCCGAACGGGGTTGAACGAAAGGTTACCATTGCCAAAGTCCAAACAGCCGGTAACCGGTAAAAGCCATGCTTACAAACCACCAAGCTCTTTGATTAACAAGCCCTTGTTGGTGACGCAACTCCTCGTGGAACGTGAGAAAGAATTTCGAGTGATTTTTACTATTGATAACGCCAGAATGCTCAAGATCGCCGAGGCGATTGCAATCAACCGATGGAAACCAATTCTGTGTCAACAAAAAGACTTGTTCATCACCCTGGCTTTGCCTTGGTGACGCTTTCCCCCAGGTATATGTGTTTAGATTGTAATCCATTCTAAAACCATATATATAAACATTGTATTTGACTGCAGTAGGCACCAGTTAGGATGCATCGAAATCATCCAGGACATGAATCAAGCAGTGTTTCTATACTGGCTTCTCTTTTTAAATATCTTAGGGTTTTCGAAGTCAACTGGCATATCATTTCCGTTTAACACTGCATCCCTTTTTCATGTTTAGTCCATTAGTCTCTGGCCGAACAGAGACGAAGATGGTAGAAGTTATCCGAGTTAGAAATCAAAACATCCGGGCTGCCGCGATAGTTAACTTAATCGCTTCGTTACAATATCCGTGAATCCTTCGCTCTCTTAACAGGGTTATCGCAGATTATGGCCCATCTCGCTGATACCGGGCATCAGCCAGACAACTACGCATTCAAAGTCATCTACAAGGTACCCCAAAACAAATCGAAGCAAGTTCGCAAACGACACTTCGCAACGGCGGAAGCTGTGGCAATCAAAATCATCACAACCTACCACTGTGCAAACAAAAGAAGACGACTGACACGCACTCCAATTGCCTTGGCTCTAACCAACCCTACCTGTGAACTATAACCATGTTTAGATCAATTCTTACAATCATTATCCATGCACTTGTGTGCACCGGTTTTGGTTGTTGTCCTTTTGGTTGCCCATTTAGATAAAAAAGCAAAATAAAGACCAGACTTTTGAAAGCAGAATTAAGCGGAAGGTAGCCCTTCTTCGTAGACTGAAGTTACAAGAATAATGAGAAGTTACATGAACGCCACTGTTTGCGACACGCAGCCATATCGCTTAGTGTCTCTTACCACTGGTGACCATCATCCCCAGCCAGGGAGCCTAACGGGACCTATGTGAGCCAGTCTCCCGATCAGAGTTTTCATGCTTTCATGCCAGGTCTTAGCACGACCACCCTTCATGTTTTCCAACAGCTACCTGCCTCCCAAGCATCGCTCGCTGGTGACATGCGTAACACAAGCCCCAACCAGCGTAACCCATGGAGATCGACTACCTGTTCCAGTGGACGACCGCGATTACCTAAAACTCTACGCCTAAACTCAGCATTGCTCGTCCGGTTTCCCCACCAGACTCGTACAATGCTACGTAGACAGCGGTGTTCGAACACCAACAGTCTATTTGTATCCTGTTCCCGTAATGGCCAAGTCTGCGCCGTATAGCAGAACTGGTCGAACTGCTACAGCAGACAGACAACCGGATGTCGCGACGGCGCCACAGATATGTGAGATTGGCAAATGCCAACCGAGCTTTCTGTATGCGCGCTGACACTTCATCTGTGATGCTTCCGCTAGGTACAATATAGGTAGCCTAGGTAGCAAAACTTGCCTACTTTCTCCACAACTTCCCCGGTCAGGGTGAGGCTGGGGACTGGGCCAACTCAATCTTGGAGCAGCATTTTACACTTTCAAGGTGCAAAGCGCATACCGAACATCGCTACACTAGCACTCGAACTATCCAGAAAAGCTTGCCACTTACCTGAATCTTTACTTAGTAGCACAATGTCGTCTGCATACTCTATATCAGACAGTAAATCGATGCCGCTATCCCCGCAAGAGGATAGAGCTGTTTCGAGAATTAAATCTATAACAAAGTTAAACAGAAATGGAGAAAAAGAGGGCAACTCTGTCGAACACCACTTTCCATGGTGAACTCAGGGGAAAAGGTGCCGTAAGCTTGAACTCGGCTTCGGCTATTATTGTAAAAGGATTGTAATACAGAAATAAACTTCTCCAGCACACCCTTCAGGGAAAGGCAGTACCAGAGTTTAGAGCGGTCAACTGAGTCGAAAGTCGCTTTCAGGTATAATATAGAAATAGTGGGTCTACGTAAGGGGTGTTCGTGTTCTAGGATTTGTTGAAGAGTAAAGATATAGTCGATACAGCCTCGACCAGGTCTGAAACCAACCTGATTCTCACGTGTGCACTCTTCACGAGTGGGAGACAATCGACGGAGTATGATCCCGACGAGAAATTTAGAGGCAATGTTAATTAAACTAATTCCTCTTTGGTTTTCACAAGAGGACCTGTCACCTTTCTTGTAAATCGGTATGATCACCGATTCACACCATTCAGTTCGAACCTGTTCCTTTTCCCACACTGAATTCAGGAGTTTTGTTAACTCCAAAAAACAAGGCTAGACCTCCATCCTTAAAAATCGATGGGGAAAGTCCGTCGGGGCCGGAAGCCTTATACCTTTTGAGATAGCTTATTTCTCGGGTAACTTCTATTTCAGATGGAGGACTGATGTCAACTGGCAGTTTTTGCACAGTTGAATCGGGTGTAGGGAGGTCTTGTGTTGACGAGGGCCAGCTGAACTGAGCCTTAAAATGTTCTGCCCATCGATTTAGACGGTGTTGCTAAATATGAATCAGTGTGCCGTTGGACTCCTTAATTACCTCACTTACGCCTGCCTTCCTTGGACCTATACTCCGAATTAATCGGAAAAGATTGTGGCTATTGCCGATAGCCGCAGCCTTCTCCATCTCCCTGCACTTTCCTATCCACCACTTCCAGCGGTCATTCCTTAGATTCTTCATGAGCTGCCGTTTGATGGATTTGCGCGCTTTGTAGTAGTTTGAATCCGGAGGAATGGCTTTGCGAGCGTCCAACAGGGCAACCGAAATCGGGGAGATCCATCTTTTTTTATATGATTGTGAGTCAGAATTTATTGTTGTTTCGATTGGAATTTGGATCGCTTCCTTGATTGCCGTCCAGTGCTCACTAAGTCCTCTGGCTAATGGTTGAGCTAAGAGACGATCTGATATCTCCGCTTCGAAGGCCGATTTGTAACCATTGCTGACATTAAATCTTGGGCATCCGTTTTCGGTGGCTTTTCTGCGTTTGTTTACTAGGCGTAGAGAGAATCTCGCTCGTAGCAGAGCAGGGTCCGTGCCCACGGTTTTTGACCAGTGGCAGCGACAGTCTTCAATGGATCCTCTCCAACGGTGTCTGGTGGTAATGCGATCGATTTGAGTCCAGCGCTGTGAAGCGGTTGGCGGTCTCCATGTAAGACGGTGCCGTTTTTTGTGCGAAAGGTTCGTGCTTGACAGAAACAGTTCGTGGTCAGCACAAAGTTGGAGTAGGTGTTCTCCGTTGTCAGTCCTGTTGGCTGGGATTTCATGTAAACCTCCAAGTAGCCTTTCTGATTCGTTCAGGGATCCCACTTGAGCATTGAACCCTCCAGTGACCACCACGATGTCCGTTGACCGAGCATTTCGGAGCAGCTGAGAGAGGTCCTTGTAGAATTCATCCTTCATTTCTGGCAAAGTGCAATCTGTCGGTGCATACGCAGATACGACGAATAAACATCGACGTTCCGTCCTGTAGCTGTTGACTCGTACTGAACAATCCAGACGTACGGCGCAAAATCGACTGTTAACCGGGATCCAATCGAGAAGTGAACGCTCGTCCTTGACACTCAGCGCAATCTCAACACCAGCAACACCGCGAGCTTTGGATGTCGAATCGCCTGTCACGGAGAGTGAAGCGTGAGGAAAAGGTTGGATCTGAAGAACGCAAGATGATTGAAGTAGGGTCTTGTATGCGTGTTTCGGAGACACAGCATACATCTAAATGGAAGGTTTCAAGGGTTCTGTCTAAGACGGCTTATTGACCAATCTGATAGAGTGTGCGGACATCAAATGCGATTAGGTGGAAAGATTTTGGTTTCAAACATCTGATAGTCTCTGAGTGGTTGGTCTCATTAGTTGAACACTGACTGGTATCCGATGGGTGGCGCAAACATGATTCATCTCTTAAGGTATGGGAGTGAGAAGAGGATACGGACAGTTGAAAAAGACGGTCCTCCAAATGGGTACCCAATACTTTTGGGCACGGCATATTTCGCAGTTGCCCACACCGACGAAATGTTTTTTCTTTGGGAACCCTAGCCGGAGCCTCCGACTCAAAAGTCTGACCCACAAGGCAGTGGGGCGTAAATCCAAAGCGGGAGCGTGAACGAAGCACCTGTGTGGAACCATCTAGAGACCTGCCATGCAAGGCCTTTGAATTTTGGTTAAGTTGGTTGTTCGCTGGTACGTTGATTGTCGGTCCGCTTTCCGGGATCGGCCCTTAGCCTCATGCACCCAATGAGACAATCGCAACGTGGACGGGACAGCACCTTATTGGTTGGGTGCTGCCCAGCTTGGGTGGGCGGTAACTGTCCAATGAAATGCGAAGATTTCTCCAACCTTCGACAGGAAGTCCCAGGTACCCCGCTCCTACGGCTATCTGGCGGGGTATTTTTTAGCGGTAAACTGCCCCTCACCATGTTCGCTAACTGGAGTGACCTCCCCAGGGGTGGGTGAGAATAGAAAAGAAAACCAGGAAGCGCCCAAGCAGCTGGCATTGTGAGACTGATCTTCGTCTGGCCTCTACCCCTTGACCTTTCAGGCATGTTTGGATCTGCGGCGCAGAAGCCACCCTGTATGACTCGCAGGGTCATTGAGGCGCGCAAACCATGACACCACGCCAAGGTGCAGTCTCGTCGTGATGGCCCCGAAACATGACCGCAGTCGTGTCGTGATGACGCCACATGGTGTGACAAATTGCACGTGAAGAAGGTCACCGAAAATTCCAGAACTGACCTTGGTCCCCCTTCACTCACTGTCCCCATTTTATCCACTTGCTGTGATTAAACTTGAGAGACATTGTTGTATTTTTACACTTAACCTCAATAGACCAATCAAATATTTCTACATTAGATATAAACACACATAACTGTGAATGTCTGAAGACGAAGTTACGAAAACAAGCTTGCACGCTATATTGTTTCGCAGAAGAGCAAAGCCGAACGATCAGATCGGGTGAGTGACACACGGAAGACTCACAACAGTAGTTTATCGTGAAGTCTCCAAGTGTCGATAATACACTGACGTTCAACACCGGTCTTTTTACGTGCAATCAAAGATGAACGTAAGCATTGGTCATCGCTATCGATTCCACACCAGAGCATCCGAACTGATTACCATAGTTACGGTGTTTTCACTGAATTCAGTTAGGGAACAACAATGAAAAAACAATTTGTATTCTTTTTATAAAAAACAGGGTTGCTGCATAGGAACGTTAGTTGTGTGAGCAAGTTCGAAACGTGAATGAGAAACAACACAAGATGCTCGTGTGTATCGTGTTTCAACTGGAGTAACAAAATTCTGCACCGCGGACGTTATGCTTAAAATTATGAAACTAAAATCTGCGGAACAGGCCAGTTTTAGAGAGAACAGAAAGCCCAAGTTGATTTCAAAGTGACATGGCAGCTGATCGGATAGGAATTATTGATGATACAGATAAAGGGATGTGGAGACTAGTAAGAATGAGATAATAAAATAAATATTTAAACGAAGTGAGAACACCAACATGGCCGTGAATGTTGTCACGATCATCGCGGAGGAAATGATGAATAACCGGGTGATATTATTGGAATATTTCATCACGAAGCCCATAAAAATACCCGAGATCGATTGAGTAATGATTAGCAACCATGTCCAGTGACTGAATCCCTCGAGCAGATTCCACGATGTTGACGCGTCTGATACAGGTAGAAAAACAACCCAAACAGGA